TTTACCTCCATAAAAATGCAGAAATTTAATGCTCGGTCAATTTTTTATTTATTTATTTTTTTGTAAAGATTGAACATTTTTATGTGAAAGAACTGATGCCCCATGCAGAAAAACTTCTATATGTGCAACAGAACCCAAAGCAAGCATGAAAACATCCAGAAAGCGTCACACAAACTCTGCGACAAACTAAAACGGATAACCAACATCATCCTCGTTATTGAAACGTTTATTTAAAGAGAACAGCTAGGATTTGTCAGCTGCTGCTCTGCCTGAATGCCGTGAGCTAAATTTGACGCACCATCTGTTGACAGTTGAGTCGCCGCTCCTCATGCATCATACCACCATCACCATTTTCTTACACGAGGAGGAGAAACAAAAGCAGCAGCTGAGACACAAGATTCAGATTTTGAAGAGAAGCTTAAAAATATCATACCGATTTGACAAAAAAAAAAAGTACAGAGAGCCACTGGCTCGTGAAATAAATTGTCCCAATTACAATAAAGTGTGGCTCTTGGTCAGTGTGAGCGGCAGGCAGTTCATCTTTATTACAATCAGTTAATGAAAATCAATCCCCTTCTTGATAAACTCTTATCTCCAAGGCCTTTGCACACCCCACCCTGAGCCGGGAGATAATAAATTAGGCTAATATTGCCTTTGATGAGGGAGTGAATTGCAAATTATTGTAACTTTCCAAGATTTATGATCCAGCTTAATTTACGAGCTGGGTTTTTTTCAGGGCGCTGGAACGCCAGGGGGCCCATTTGTTAAAAGTTTGGTGACTTGGGCTCGTTAATAAAAATACACGCTCAGAGACGCAGGTGTTCTAGTACCTGTGGAAACCCTGCTGGAGTTACATTAACTATTCGATCGTGGTTTTTAGACTGGAACAGAGAGGGCATAAGAGGAAGCAGAAACCTGTGGGATGCAACACGAAGCAGCTCTGTCAGTCGTAATCATATCCCACACACACAGGTGTCACATAATGAAGTACAAATACTTTCTTGCTTTATTTAAGTAGAAATTTTGGTTATCTTTCCTGGAGTAATTATTTTTCACATGACGTTTTACATCTACTCCTTGCATTTTCACACAATTATCTACTTCCTACGTTTTAAAAGGGTAGAAAGTATTTCCTTTCTATTTCATAACTTGTCTTTGTCTTTCATCAAGAAAAAAAAACTATCCAAATATATTGCACCTCTTGGATAGAATGAATTTAATTGTGGTTGGATGAAAAGTATAAACACCATTCTGACACTCTGACACTGGGTTTGTACGATCCATCACACCTGTATGACACGAATTACATCACACTGATGACCATGGGCAGATACAGTATATGCAACTAAAACAGGTAGACTAGTTCATCCCAAACATTTGAATCTTAACATTTTAATACAACATTACAGTAAAGCCCTGCAAAGTTGCGTTTCACAGTTTGAAACGTCTTTGGTGGATTTCCTTCCATGGAACCTAACATCTAGGGGTGCACCAATTACAGTTTTCTGGCCAATCACCAATCTTTAAAAAGTCTGACCTGCCAATTCAGATTTTGTCCTCTACTAATTTTTTTGATCAACTGACACTGTCAGGTGTTATAAGGTCAACATATGCCTTTCATGTTCCCATCGTATTTTATTAAAATAACACTGAGCAATACCCTTGAAACAATACAAGCTTGTTTTAACTGGACACTATGGCTGTGTCCAAAATGGCAGGCCGGGTCCTCTGAAGGCTGAATTTGTCGGCCGCATACGTCACAGCGCCACTACGAAGGACGTCCAAAACCGAAGACTCCTCCGATGCGGCCGACAAATACGTCCTTCCTTTGGCCCGAATCGAAGGACAGGTCTGATGGATCCTTCCCGGCCCAGCATATCCCATAATGCATTGCAGCCCGACCGGAGATTTGTTTAAGCTAGTAATGGCGGACAAAGCGAGAGAAAAAAATACGTTTTAAATAAAAAATATGGTGACATGGAAATTTAAAAAATTAGCGGTTGTAATTTTAATACTTTTATCATTTGTATGGACATGTTTTTAAATATTGTTTTTATCATAAAAATGCGAAATAAACATGAACCTACAGCGGGTCAATTAGTTCTTCAAATGATACCTTTAAGTTAATTTTATAGTTTTGTGATATTAATAATGCTAATGTATTGATATTTTTCTAGTTTTATTTAAGTTTGCTTGTTTAGCGTCGTCACAGTTGCTAGGTGACATGACGTACGCCGGGGTAAGGAGGGGAGGCTAGACCGTCCAAATTCACAGCCTCTTTTTTTCCGGTCTTCCCGGTCTACCAAGGACCCGGCCCGCCATGACCGGGGAGTCTGGGTCCTCCGGAGGACCCGGCCTGTCGTTTTGTACACAGCCTAGGTAGTGCTCAGATCTTGTCGTACTTTTGTTGTACTTCAGCACAGCTTTGCAGCTTTGGCATGTTACGATAGTCAAACCAGAAGAGTCATCTTTAGTGAAATACTTCCACACAATTGAGGAATTTCTAGCTCCTGTTTGCAAAGACTCGGCCTGCTCCTCGTCTTCCGCCTGCTTGGAATCCATTTTGTAGCCAGCAGTCACATGACTACAACCAGTGGCATCACTAGGCCTATTTTAGGGGGGCTGGATGTTGGATTTTTGTCATAAAATTGCCCCCAAATGTCACCAGAAACAACCCCCACACCCCCACATCCCACACACACAGACACAAACACACACCAACGTTCCTCTTCCATCTCTATCAGACAAACCAGGAGTGTATGATTTGATATGTAGGTCAGTTCTGCAGTGAACCGATGGGTAAAGTCTACTTGCTCACTGTCACTCTGATTACTGAGGTGACAGAAAGATTGAGTAGGTCAAGTATGAGAGAGCCTGCATCATACCATGTATGGCTGCTGACACACTCACTCACACACACACACGCACAAGTGAAAACTTTCCTAACTTTCCGCAGTGGTGACCCATGTAACAGGGTGCAACGTATGTGTGTGTCAGACGTGTTCTGCTCTGTGCAACAACCAGGCTGCGAGTGCATCATTAAGCAAAACACTTCAGCAGCAGCCGAGGAAGGCTGGGGTTACGAGTCATCGCAGAGCGCCAGAATGATGCAAGGTGGACCGTTTCAGAAGCAAACACAATCTCACGAGCAGACAAATGTTGGCGAACCAACATCTCATGCATCATTTAGCATMGATAAATCAAGCATGTGTCAAAACTGCTGCAACACGCCACATGTAGGATGTTTTCCACACGTGCTACCTTCAGTGTTCATCCGGTTTCTGCCATTAAAGGTGTGTTTCCTATGAAAAATTAGGACTCAGTCTTCTTTTGAGAGTTACTTTTGAAGAAAACCACCTTATGCTTTATACATATAATCATCATCAAGGCTCCCTAATTTTAGTCCATGGAGCAGCTTTCATTAAGACAGCCATCAATCCATCTTTTATCAATCACGGAGCAAGCTAACGCACCACTATCTATTTATCTTGCCAAGTGCTTTATTATTACTAAATTAATTTCCCCATTGAGAGAATCAATCACTCAGCAGGTTTTTTCCCTCAACTCATTAGCTTGGTAATTGTCCTTGTTTACAGGGGAAAGTCAAGACAGGACGTCTCCAAGAAGGCGGACGGGCAATCTTTACAGGCTTGAATAAGTTTTTACAAACCTGAAGCAATGTCTGCTGGATTATTCCCCTTTATAGGCTTTTCAATATGCAGAATAACCCCCCACCAGTTTTTAAAATCAACATTTTCACAATAAGAATGAGTTATGTTTCATGATTGGAAAATGCTCCCGAGCGGTTTCATCAAATTGGTTCATTGTGCCTGACATGTCAACAAATGAGATGAATCAGCAACAGGAACTTGAGGCTTTTTTGTTTAAAGTGATGAAGCCAGTAAACATAAGAAAAACTGCTTTATTGTCATTATTATAGTTAAGCTGATGAGCAGATGGAATTAAAATCACAGAAACAAATTGGTGTGTTTAGATTCTGTTCTGTTCAAAGAGTATTTGAAACTTTAGGAAATGGCTGTGGAGCTCAATTGTGGCCATAAAATTTCTTTAAAAAAAATAAAAGCGATTTGAAACTGAAAAAATAATTTTGAAATAGAAAAGTTTGAAACAAACAAACAAAAAGTTCAAAACTACGGTGGTTTTGTCTTATTTTTTTCTAATTTTTAGATTTTTTTTCTACAGTTTCACACCACTGGCCCTGTTTTGGAATTGTGACCGAAAGCTCAATCCGGAGGCTAGACAAAGTATTCCCAAGTGTTGCATTCAGGAACTGTAGCAACTTGGAAAACATTATCTTTAAGCTATGTTTCTGTGATTTTATGTCACTAAATGATATAAATCTTGGTGTAAAATATCTGGTATTGCCAACCATGTGGCCAGTGTTAGATTTATACTTCCTAGAAACATCGTTACAACAAAGAAAAATGTACTAAACACACATTTTCTTACTTATTGTGCAAAGTTTAGTTGGACAATAATTTGTTTCTGTCACAAATTTTAACTTGTTTCTGCTTCTGTAACTTTAAACCAGTTTGATTTGTAATAGTGTTCTTACATGATACGACATAAATACAGTTTGCCCAAAAAAAAAAAAAAAATCCACAAACACAATGAGATTTTGGACTTCTTGTGGACACAAGATAGTAATGCATGGCCACAGGATTTTTTATTTTACTTTTTTTATCCAACGTCACTAGACAGGCTCCATAGGTTCTACATCAAATAGGTATTTTTGTCTTCTTTCTCTAAGTGTGTCTCGTCACTTTTGGACATGAGGAGTTGAGAACAATTCAATTCAGTTTATTTATATAGCACCAAGTCTCAGGGCACTGTACACAAAAAAAAAAAAAAAAAAATCTAAAGAAGCCAGCAGGTTGTGTTGAATCTTCACTTTGTCACAGTCTCCCATCCTGAGCAGCACATTGGTGACAGTGGAGAGGAAAAACTCCCTTTTAACAGGAAGAATCTCCAACAGAACCAGGCTGCCTCAACCAGTTGGGTTTGGGGGACAGTTTAAAGA